GCATATTTTTAATTTGAGACCCAGCATGCTCCAGTTTTCAGTGGGTCCGTGTAGCAATATCACTATGCAAATTGGTCTCTTAACGCTTGAGGCCATTCTTGATAGTGGTTCTTCCCTATCTATATTTCCTAGTCATATTTTACGACTGATCTCTCCATTTCCTAAACTTCGTTATGTAGCTAAATCACGTATTGTTAATACTGGTACTATTACTGAGAGTGTTACGAAGCCTTTGTTTTTTATTCTAAGTAGTGAATATACAATCGTACATGATTTTTACGTTCTCAATACTTAACTTCTCTATACTATAAAACCGATGGCAACAAGTACTACGAACATGACCACTAATCACATCATAGCAACTTTTGAGTATATTATAACGGTCAGAGCCACTCGAAAGGCAGACTGTGGTATCCCATTTTCGTTTTTCATTGGGAGCACCAGTAGGCAAAATACCAGCTGAACGTAGAGATTCATTAGAGTCAAATACGGCACAATGGTGCTGTATGTTATCCACTCTAGATGGTAGAGAACGAACACGCCTTTCAGAGGAAGCCATAACAGATGGCTTCTTGATATCAGCGTTGCGAAGATCGGGCATAGACGTTGATCTAGTGCGCATAGGGGCTCGGAAAGATATCCCGGTAGAAGTTCTAATGATTCATTACCAGCACCAGCTACACCTCCCAAGGCATACAGTTCTCAAACTGGGCCGGTATGCGGATCCTGATCCACGGATCAAGCACATGATCCAGATCGCTCGTTGATCTTGACGTCTGAGCCAAATCTTTCGTGATCCAAGATGCGTGAGTCAGATCTGCGATTCTTGATCTCGATCCGTGATCTTTGATCCTGATCCTTGACCGTTGATCTCGATCCCTGAACTTTGATACTGATCCGTGATCTGTGATCCGGATCTCGCGTGAACCTCATTTTTGATCCTGATCTATGATTCTTGAGAAAAAACTTGATCCGTGATCCAAAGATCAAGGGGTTGAGAAATTCTCAGACGAGTTGCGAAATTTCGTTGATCCGTGATTCATTCGGTCTCGAGGGATCACCCTCTGATCCGGATCAAATATTGGATCAAGCTTCTGATCCATCAAAAGGATCAGTTTACGGATCAGTGGTACTTTGCGTGTTAAAATGCCGTGATCCTGTAACGGGGCTTTTTTGCTACGTTACAGCTACTCGTGATCCGTGATCCTGATCCCTTCAAAATGCTACACACTTCCGAAGTGTACCACGAATCGTGGTACGAAGATTCACTTGTAAATGCATACTGAGGAGATTCATTCATTCGCACGCAGTCTCCGTCCATCTAAGCCTTAGATGGAGGAAGGCGGATGGAGGAATATATCAAACTCTAAGCAATTCAAATAGACACGATGGCCGTGACACGGCCATCGTGTAAGAAACCTATTCATTTCTACAGATTAAGCAAAAAACTCAATAGGATCCAAAACTGACAGGATCATGGGTGATGTGATCCACGGATCACGAGAATGATCTATGATCCTGTCCCATGATCCCAATTTTGTTGATCTGAGCAAAAAAATCAGGTTCATGTCATAAAATCATCACATTGATCTTATGACGTGATTTTTTTCTCAGGATCACGCGTGGATCAGGATCCGCATACCGGCCCTGACCACCTTTCCTTCAGAGCACCATCCACTTCAAAGGAAGGAGAGAGGTTACGCTTGACACAAGAATTTCCAGCAAGCGCGGCGATCCCTGGAAATTAACGCAAAATTCCGCGCTACGTACAATTAAAAGCACTATTAATGGCTTGAAATATCTGCCCTGCGGGGTTTCCGGGTGACCCGCAGACAGTTGCGGGTCATTTTTTGCCCGGTCACTCGCATGAACCCGGCACTACCGGCGGGGAAGCCGGGTTTGTGACTTTGACCCGGCCCGGCTCGGTTCGTTCCGGGGCCGGGCCGGGGCGAATCGGGGCGACGGGGCCGGGCAAGGGTGGTCATGTCTAGGGTCGTATCATACGAATCGTACCCCCAACCTTTTTTTGCTTGAGACATATGGCTCGTATGTCTCCAGCAATGAGGGTCAAGCTCTTGTTTTTAGAGATTTCTGGGTAGTGATAGATAGGAGAGGGAATTTGCATGCACGTTTGAGATGCGTCTAATAGCTCCGCTCACACCGCAAGAAGAACAGATTTGTAGCATACCATTTTATAGAGGTCGTATTTTCTACTTGACGCTTCAAGTAGTGTCGGAAAGTATGCACAAGGTCAACCACATATGGTGGCGACAATATGAAAATTGTGAAAAGTTTGGGAAATTCTTATTGGTTCCTACACATGTCCGCTTGTTCAGCGAGGTATTTCCTTTATTCGAGGCATGCTGGGTAAGAGTAGCTAAGCAATTCCTCCATTCTAACGATCGTAAGGCTGTATGAAATGAATAGATGGTCTCTAGCATCGAAAATGCACACTTAGCATAAGTTTCCTGGAAAATTTCACTCGCGGAAATATTTGGAAACTTTCTCAGACAACCTGCTGTAAAGTTGGGTATGTGCTACAGCAGAGAGCATTGGCAAGCAACGGATGCCCAAAATATCCCGTAGCGACGTGGGAACCTGGGAGTCCCAGGGTGGGACACGAAGGTTAAAGTCCTCAAATAGAGATGTGTACGATCAGATGTTTCGACCGATCATCGTAAGAAGCCGAGTTGACCTTGTGAGTGGCACCTACTAAGTGCCCCCGTATATGAACGCAGCAACATCAACAGCATTGAAGGATATAGAAGCGTATCATATTGGTCTTCTTCAATACCATAATCAGCCACTACATAATTATTGACAGCCCAGCAATAGTAGACCATGAGCCTACCGGAATCTTCACTCTTTGGCACTCTTCAAGTTGAAATGTACTCGTGAACAAGCTAAATACCCCACACAGCGATGCGCAGACCTGCATCCCGATGAGGAATAGAAAGCAGGAGTACGCGAACCACATTACTGCTATATCAAAGATGGATATGAAAAACGCGAAAAAATAAATAGATTAATGGTGTCGTCAAAAGTCTTCGTATAATTCAAGATATATGAACGGTGCGTACAGCATCAGAATTGTGGTAGCCCACCCACCTCACTCACCGCCTAGGCATAGGACCATGATGCTGCGTAGATTTACAAAGTGTGAATCACACTACAACATTGTCCAGCAAATAGCCGCGGATAGTATATTTGTCGTAAGCTCCGATTTTACGAGTCAAATCATAAAAGAAGTATTCCAACTTGTAGTCCCAACCATCTTTCCTCTTCTCCATGTGAAGGACTGTTGTTGACCAGAAATTGACAACTTCTGCATTGGTGGCGGGTCTGTGGGAAGCAGCTATCGACAGCCCGGTTGAGGTAGCTGTACCTCTTAGAGAATCTAACCCCCAAATATGGACAACACTCCCCTTGTTAGGGATAAAACCAGCCTCATTAATCGGAGCGTAGACCATCATTCCAGTGCCATAGGAGCGTTTCACGTTGCCGCCGCCTATGGACAAGTAGAACTTTCGGGTTTCATCACCGATACTAAGGTGAGCCAATCCATACGTCTCCACTTCGACACCAAGAAAATTGGGATAGGGCAGGGAGAGGTTAAACATCAAAGTGACGTTCATTTGCATAGTGCCAGATAATCCATCCCTGTTGGTTTTTAGTATGATACCAGCAGTTTCTCTATGAAACCCATCCTTTGTGTATCCCTTCATGTTGTAAATGCAGCAAGGCGGTTGAAGATCGCCAATGTCGCTCCCATACCCTGGACCAGGACCTCCATAACAACCATCTGGATAGTCAGCAGTAACCTGGAAAGGGGTATCAGGTTGTCTCTGCGCTGCGGTTTGCGTCACAATGGCAAGCAAAAAGATGCCGTAGGCGAAAGGCATTACGAATAAGACTTAACCTGAAGAGTTTGTTGAAGAGAATTCAACAGTTGTAGCGCACTCGAACGAATACGCGGTCTTCCTCACACTAGCAGCACGGTCAAGCCAGCATTACCGCTACAGAGTTTGGGCACATGAATAGCATAGCAAAACTTGACGAATCGGATTCCCTTAGCAGTGTTGCCCGAGGAAGGAGGCAGTTCACCAACAGCGATAAGAAAAAAACCTCAGGTTCATGGAGGCGGTGACACTCTCTTCACACTGCCGTGGTGTGTTACCGTTCCTGGTGTGTTACAGCACTTTGTGTTGAACACGGGGTTTCTTGCACAAACTTTGTTGTATTATACAACAAAGTATAATGCAGTATTATACCACAATCCGCCA